ATTTTTTTATTTTTAGAAGATTCGTAAGAAATCTTTCTAAATATTAAATTAAACTATTGAAGTGTGTAAGTATTATTCTGTCACTAAGTGTCGTTTAGTCTTGGTAGAGTTGTTAAAGTATGTGGCGGTAAAGATTGAAAATTGTTAGACTGACTTGCAGAAAAGTGAGGGTTCTCACTAAAACAAAAATGCTCACTGCTCTTTAAGAAAAGTGTACTAATTGCCTTATAATTGTCGTAAACGAATCGATATATATATGAGTAAAAAATCTTACGTCAAAGGACCTTCTGGCTTGTCGAAGGATCTAAGCAAAGATAAGCAATGGAATTATTCATTAGTGAATATATGGGTGGCTTCTCTTGCACTTAAGTTGTTATTATCGGTTGGCTATCATTCCACAGACTTCGATGTTCATAGGAATTGGTTAGCAATAACGTACAACCTACCAATATCTAAATGGTACATTGAAAATACTTCACAATGGACGTTGGATTACCCACCTTTTTTTGCATACTTTGAGTGGGTGGTGGCTAACTTCGTGCCTGATTTTGTTAAAAGCGACGGATGTTTGAAAATAGTTGAAAAGGGACTATATAGTTTACCTACTGTTTTGTTTCAAAGGTTGTCTGTAATTGTAAGTGAGATAGTTTTATTTGTTTCATTGCAATGGTATATTAATTCATCGAAAACCCATACGGAAGCTAGGAGAGCTTTTGTTGTTGCATCGAGTCTCGTATTATCACCAGGCTTATTAATCATTGACCATATTCATTTCCAATATAATGGAATGTTGTACGGAATACTTGTTTTGATGATAAATTCAGCACGGTTGAAAAAATACTTAATGTGTGGATTTTGGTTTTCAATATTGATTTGTTTTAAACATATCTACTTATATTTAGCCCCAGCAGTTTTCGTTTTCTTACTTCGTGCTTATTGCTTAGACTTAAATTTTGGAAATAAGGCCAAATCTTCAAGTTCTCTTTTAAATATAATCAGATGGAAGAATTTATTCAAATTATCATCAATAGTCATTGCTGTCTTTGGTATTGCATTTGGCCCCTTTATTTATTATGAGGTTATGCCGCAACTCATAGAAAGATTATTCCCATTTAACAGAGGGTTAACTCATGCATACTGGGCACCTAATGTATGGGCAATTTATTCCGCAATTGATAGGTTATTGATTCAAATATATTACAGAATACCATTTAGTAGACCGATCTTACTAAAAATTTTCAAGTTCAATCCCCAATACTTATGGGACTCAAAATTAGTTAATAAAACAACAAGAGGCTTGATTGGAGACGTTGAGTTTCTAATCTTGCCTACAATAACTTCACAATTAACCTTCTTCTTGACATTATTTTATCAAGTCATGGCTTTAATTCCTTTGTTTTTACAACCTACTTTCAGAAGGTTTATGGGATCATTGACTTTATGTGGTTTTGCGTCTTTCTTGTTTGGCTGGCATGTTCATGAAAAGGCTGTCTTGGTGATCATATTCCCCATGACATTTCTTGTCAGCAGAGATAAGGATTTACTAGGCCCTTTTAACTTGCTAGTAAGTTGCGCATATACTTCCTTGTTTCCATTGATTTTCACTTGCGATGAATGGCTCATTAAGATCACCTACACATTATTATGGTACATTGTTTACTATTTTAGTCTTAAGAAGGTTGTAAGATTGCCAAAAACAAATGGTGGCTACGGTAAAGTTATTTTAGACAGAGTCAATAATGGTTATATTTTAGGTTTGGTACCAATCATATCCATTGTTAGTCTCATGGACTTGTTCGAACATAAATTCGAAATATTGAGAAAACTACAATTCATGAAGTTATTGATCATTAGTATATACTGTGGTATTGGTATTATAAGTAGTTGGAATGGTTTCAGTTGGTTATACTTCGTTGACGAATCCATTTGGACAGATGACTAAGCTAGGTAACTTTCTAATTAAAAATCATACTTTTCCGTACTCTCGCACTCTCTTAATAAATATGTAACATGGCAATTATTGTAGTGTAATAGGAATTTAGCATCCTAATACCCTAAAATATGTAGGTTCTTCAAATCCTATTGTATACTTGAAATTGACAAACTTATATTAGGTTTCGTGGTCTAGTTGGTTATGGCATCTGCTTAACACGCAGAACGTCCCCAGTTCGATCCTGGGCGAAATCATTTTTTTTAATCTATACTATTCGAACTACTTTCATCTGTTCTATAACTCGTTATGAGTCCAGTAAATATTTGCATAACATTATTCATTTTGTATGGCCGATTTGTTAATTTTTGCATCTCTTTAAATAAACTTTGATTATGCGCATGAATGGTTGCTGTTGCAGCTGTAAGCCTTTCCTGTATGAAATTTGGCACAGCAACCTCCTTAGAGATAGCTATAAAAGGGAATGAAATACTCCTGAAATATTTTGGTTAATCATTAGACAAATAAAACGTTACAATGCTGCAAAAAAAAGAAGAGACAATTAGCTTAGGTAGATACTTATTTGAAAGAATTCGTCAATTGAAGGTTCAATCTATTTTTGGGGTTCCAGGGGACTTCAATCTTACATTATTGGATAAGATTGAAGAAGTGAATGATTTGACATGGAGAGGAAATGCAAATGAATTGAATGCTGCATATGCTGTAGATGGTTATAGTAGAGTTAAGAGTACTGATTCTTCAGCAAACGGATTTGGATGTCTTGTTACAACTTTTGGAGTCGGTGAATTATCAGCTTTGAATGGTATTGCCGGATCCTATGCTGAACATGTGGGATTGTTGCATGTTGTTGGTATTCCAGCAACTTCTGCTCAACAAAAGCAATTATTGTTGCACCATACCTTGGGTAATGGTGACTTTACGGTTTTCAGACGCATGTCTTCTGCTATAACGCAAACTACAGGGATGGTTGCAGATGCAGCTACTGGTCCAGAAGAAATAGACCGTGTCATAAGAGAAGCCTATATTAATCAAAGGCCATCATATTTGGCTTTTCCAACCAATATGGTCGATTTAGAAGTTCCAAAGCTGTCTTTGGATACCCCTATTGATTTGTCAATTCCTGAAAATGACCCCGAAACAGAAAGCGAAGTACTTGAAAGAGTTACAGAATTAATCTCCAATTCCAAGAACCCTATTATTTTAGTCGATGCTTGTTGTGCAAGACATGGTGCTACTGGAGAAGCAAGAAAGCTAATCGATCTCACTAAATTTAAGTTTGCTGTAACCCCAATGGCTAAGGGGGCGAAATATATTGATGAGGATCATGAGAGATTCGCCGGTGTCTATGTAGGCACGTTATCTTATCCTTCCGTTAAAGAGCAGGTTGAATCTTCTGATCTTATTTTATCCCTAGGTGCTATGCTTAGTGACTTCAACACTGGCTCCTTCTCCTATTCTTATCAAACAAAGAATGTAGTTGAGATTCATTCAGACTATACTAAGATCAGGTCTGCAAACTATCCAAACGTTAGAATGAAGGCTGTTTTGCAGAAACTTTTAGAATCAGACAAATTGAAAGAAGCAGCGAGTAAATATAAGCCTGTCGAAGTTGAGAAAGACCCATTCCCTGAAGAGAAAAAGGATGAACTGTCTAAAATTACTCAACAATGGTTATGGAGTAAAGTATCTGGCTGGTTAAAGGAAAATGATATTGTCATTACTGAAACCGGTACTTCGTCGTTTGGTATTATTCAAACCCAATTTCCAAAGAATACTTTAGGTATTTCTCAAATATTATGGGGTTCTATTGGATACTCCGTTGGCGCAACATGTGGTGCTGCTATGGCAGCTCAAGAAATTGATCCTAATAGAAGAGTTATATTATTTGTCGGTGATGGTTCCTTGCAATTGACTGTTCAAGAAATTTCATCAATGGCTAAAAATAAGACTAAACCATACATTTTTGTATTAAATAACAATGGTTACACTATTGAAAAATTAATTCATGGTGAAACTGCCGACTACAACAGCATACAGCCATGGGACCATTTGAAAATCTTAGAAACCTTCAAAGCAGATGATTACGAATCTATAAGAGTTTCTACTGTCAAAGAGCTTCTGGATCTTTTCAGCGATCAAAATTTTGCAAAGAACGATAAGATCAGGGTGATAGAACTCATGCTTGATACAATGGATTCTCCTCAAAATTTAATTGAACAAGCTAAAATTACAGCTCAAACGAATTCGAATTGAATTAAATATATATACATAGGTTTTATAAGATATATGGGATAGTGATACTTAATAATACAGTTATATATAATTTTTAGGGTTGAAAATATAATCAGGGAATAATGATTCCCAATCTTCATTGAACAAATCTGACGTCATTAGGACTGGAGGTCCTCCAAAAAATTCCAAATTTTCGTCGAATAACAACTCGGTATTTGCATCTGCTATGGTCTTATTGTACTCATGGTCATGTTTATCCGATGAACTAGAAATTTCGTGTATTGGTGCTCTTGAGTTGACTAATGAACTGGCAGGTTCATTCGGTGAAAAGCCCTGGTGTTCAGTATACTCTCGGCGTGGCCGAGGCAGAAGCAGAACTCTCTGAAAACTTTCAGTAGACCGAATCTGCGAATTATTTTCAAACGGCCGTGATAATTGTAAATGATCTCTGTCGTTCTCCTGTTGTCGGTTGTTCGAGAAATTCGGAGATTTAGAATTGAACAAGTTCTCAGTGGCTACATTGTTCGTAGTTGGAGAACTATTCTCTTCTTTCTTTGATTCATTTTCATTATTATGGCTGTGTTGTAATTTTATTTTAATTAACTTGTAGGATTTTTCGGCTAATTTCCAGGTTCGAGAGCAATCATGTAACACGTTCATGAAGAACTGCAATCTCTCCTGTTTTTTGTTCACTAACTGTTTACTTTTATTAGTAAGTAAAATTACTGAAATAGAAAGAATAGAACAATAAACCATAAATATTGATGCTCTTCTTAACCCATGAGTCTCTTGAAACCGACGTATAGCAACATATAAGTCTTCAATTGCATTAGTACAAATAATTGCAGGCGATAAATGATGCTCCTCTTCGGCGGATTTGGAAATACCTACAAAAGGTCTATTGAGACACAAAATGAGGATGTAGTAGTAATATCTTATGCACAGAAGTGTTGGATTATCAGCAGTTTCCTGTAAAAAGCTTTTATCCCAAGCCAAGTCTTCGGGTAATGATTCTTTCCATTTCATTATATGACTATTGTATTCAGAAAGCTTCTCCATTCTTGACAATAAATTTATATCATCGTTATTTTTATCGTGATTATCTTCTGAACGAGTGAATATATCATTTAACATGCTATCTGAAATATTAATTAACTTAATTACATTCTTTAACGGATTTGATATTTGTGTATCTTTCTTAGCTTTGCACTTAGGGTCAAGATACCTATAGTCATCTATCCATTCTAAATCTGGTAAATCATCAGTTTCAGGTATTGTAGCATCGGATATTTTCAATAACGAAGGTCTGCCTAATAATAAACTTATGAAATGATCAGCCATGTAACTACCCCAATAAATTCTGCTTCTAATCGCCACATCTAAGGGGCTTAAATCATCATGAGACTTCAAAAACCATACTTCTGGGTTTAATTGAAAACCAAGATCAAAGCCCATTCTCATAGCATTACCACTAAGCATCCAACCAGATGAATTTGACCCATCACAAATATCATAAAATGCAAGCAATAAGAAACTCTGTAATGATGTGATTGATGGGTGGTCTAGCTGAGACAAAAGTGAAACCCTGGCTTCATTATAAAACTCAATAGATCTAGAGTATATTTTATCGTCATCGGACATTCTTGAACCCAATGCACAAATGCTCAACACCAAATTTCTTGAGCAATATAAACTATTTGGTTTGGGATCAAAAAAATCAATTAAAAAGGCCTCTCTAAATATGAACATATTGTGGTCAGGATACTGCCAAGTAAAAAATAACTTTAAACAATGCAATATATTGGGATCCTTATTTAAAGCATTAATAGATACTTCTTCTCGCTTTGATGGAGATTTTGATTTCCCGGTTATTAAGTCATTGTCGTAAACACTGGTTGGTCCATAAACCGACATGCTAGAATTTTTTATATCATGTTTGGGGGAGTGAAATGCATAATTTTCCATTTCTGATGAAGCAGAATTGTATTCCTGGTAGTCCTTGCTAACAAACTCGTTCAAATCTGTAGAATCGATTAATTTTTGTTTTGCTTCTATTGAGTCAAGTTTTTTAAACTTTTCGAAAAAATCAGTCAAATTCTCTATTTGCTTTTCAAGGTTCGAAACATAATTAGCTGGTGGTCTTTTCTTTCTCATGTCATTAACAGTCTTGACACAGTCAGCACCAACTTTTGTACAATTTGAACATGGATATTCAAAGTTGCATTTAATCTTTCTAGTCCGACATCTCTGACAAGACAATAATCGTGGATTTGTATTATTGTCTTTTCCCTTGTTATTAACCTCCTGTTTCCTCTTTTTAGGTAACGAAGACATATGTTTAGTGTTACCTTCCTGATATCTGGGAATACATATATATTCAGTCTTATTTATCTGGGGATAAAGATGAGATCTTTTTAAGAAAAACAAATAAAATTACAGTGCGAATGTACTTAGGAGAATATGTATATTCTTAAATCAAATATTTGATTAAATTAAGAATAAAATTTGATACGTCGTATAGAAAACTGCTATCATCCCAACGACTATTAAAATATAATCAAATACTTTAAAAAATTTACCCTTCCAATCATTTTGTCTATCAAATTTATAAGTTTTCAAATGTATCAAGGGAGGATAGATATATACGAGTGGGATACATGCAAAACACCCATTGAAAGAAATGAATTTATCTATGTTGTTTGCATTTAAATATGCAATTATACATATCGAGCTAATTAATATTGCTCTTATTAAATTCTTGGACCACTTAATTGACGTACTATATTTGCCTGAAAAGTGATACAATTTACCTTCATCATCTTTCTTAGTAGAAGTAGTTCTATCATTGAATAAGTATGAATTGAAAATTAAGGATTCTAATATCTTAGTTACCGGAAATAACTGGAGGGGCGCTGTCAAGAATACCGCTAACGAGTAGAGTAACGATATGAGCTGAACAGATAGTTTACCCTGTGGCAAATTCAAAATAACGATTGATTTAACCTGATCTCCAAATGTAGAATACCCAAGAACACCAATAGACACGAATAATGTCGTTATAACGCACATACTTATTGATAAAACCATAGGGAATTTTTCTGGTTGAGCCATCGAAGATTCAATTGGTAAAATCAATCCAATACCTTCAAATGATGTAACTGCGACTCCAATCAACATTGACCAGTTGCTAGAGTTAAATTTGACTATATTTGGACCAACACCTTCGACTGAAATTTTCATAATGGAAAAATAGAATATGATTATTAGTCCAATTACTATAAAAACCGATGATATCAAAGAAATTATAGATAACTTAGCTAAATTTCTGATGAGAACCAAAGGAATTAATAAAATACATTGGAGAATGACAATATTCCGTGTACTCACGTAGTGAGCAGAAAAATGTAAGTAGTTCTCGATGAAAGAGATCACATTTTCTGCTGTAAATAAAATATAAGTAGCAACAAACCCAATTTGGGAAATCAAGATAGATATTAAAATGCAAATTCTTAACGGCTTTCCATGGGTCTTAAATCCTAACTCACCGAATGAAGATTTGTTCAATATTCTTTTAGAACGGATTAAAATGATATAACAAAGAAATGTCAACAATCCAAAACATAATAACATAATGGATGAAAACAAAAGACCTCCATTAGCAAAAGCCTTAGGTAAAAACAATATACCAGAACCCACCAACGCTTTAAAAACTAAGAAAAACGTCTTGGGAATATTGGCTGCTCCCTTCTTTTCTGGTCTAGGCCTACGGGTAGGGGGCGCTCTACGTTCATTGGGTAGCAATAGCGACTCTTCGTCGAATGCCTCCTCATATTGTTCATCATTATCTTCGTCATCATCAAAATTCTCCCCCGCAAAACGACCATATATGCTCAAAAACTCAACAAAATTTCTTGTCAAAAAATTTGGAGGCTCCGTATTCTCCTGCAAAGATTTGTTAATTAAAAATTCTCTTCTAAATCCTCCTGGAATATTAATGTCGCTAGCAGTAGACTGCCTTCTCGACTGAGTCATGAAATTGGAAAACGATGATGACCTCGTTCTCTTCTTCAGGTTCGTCAACTCTTTGCTGCTAACATTTTCAAGCTGCAGGTAGAGGTGTCTAGCTACATCTCCCCCTTGCAATTTTAAAGTATCTTCTTGATTCACCAAATGCTTATTTATGGTTTTCAAATTAGCGTTTTGTGAATTGATATTTGAAATTTGCTCCTGATAGCTTCTATCATTGGACGAGTTGGAATGATATGAGTTATCAGAGGCACTATGTTTTAATGTGCTTGGCCCGGTTCCATCCATCGTCTGTGTATTCAACGTCTCAGTACTCGCTTTTTTACCCATTTGCAATTAAAGCGTATCATTCTAAATCAAAGCCTATATATCAACTTCTAATCGAATTCATCACCTAATTTGGGTCGTGTAGTGGTCAAAATACACAGTGCGATGTCATCATAGCTGAATGGTACAAATGCCCAAAGGGCCTCTCCATGTAATCAGAATAGTATGATAGAAAATTATGTGATCTCTTTCCTATTCATTTTTCTACAACGCATTTACGAATCTCTAATTCGGTGATAGAATCAAATAGTGAACTAATATCGACAGCTAAAATATTTGTCCCCCCCACCCATGGACTTAAGAAATATGATTCCGAGACCCTTACACCGACCAAATGACTGCACTGCGTATTGTCAGCAAATTTTCACGAATCATCACTTACTGCAACCCTGCACCACTTTCTACTAAAGGCGTATTTTTAGTGCAAATATTCCTTAGCCAGAGTTTGTTCCCCATAATTCACCTGAAATAGCATATACCTCTTTCTATTCAAACAAAAGCCTCTACCAAGCAAATTCGTAAGCCGTATAAGTATATGAAAACGTACCATTTTTCTTTGCCATCATCGCGTAATATGCTTGACAAGCAAAAAAGTAATCAAATAATTCTCCATTTGGTCTTGTGACCAAGCGGTGGAGCGGTTATGCCTAATTAGCCGGCAATGGGCTAAACGACGACATTTATCACTTACGGAAATTTGTTAAACCTTAATTTTCTTCTGCATTTAAGTTACTTCCACTGCGCCAAAAGTGCATATTTCCATTCTGGTAGTTTAACTAATCCCCGCGGCACATTTTTAGGACTTTAGTCGTATTTGCATCTGCTTGAGCCATTCGGTATTTAAACAACAAATTTCCTAACAATTGGTTTCTCATAAACTCGTAGTATAAAATATTGAATTAGAAACGTTCCATCATATATAATTAGCGAATATCATACAAGATTAACACTGATTTGAGTGTACTTAGACAGAAACTACTGGATAGCTACTGGAAAAACATCATAGATCTGGAATTAAAGGACAATACAGCTAAACTACTGGATAGAGGCAAAAGTTCATACGAAATAAAGAGTTACGAAAAAAAGGAAATATAAAACATAAGGGAAAACCAATAATAAATAATAATAATAATACCACTTGAAATGCATACCGGATTCTGCTACGACGATTTAACGAATTACAAAACAACAAACGCACCTACCTTCACACAAAACATAGACTACATGTCTGACCTTTCCATCAACGAATATAGTTTGCATCAATGTTGGAAACGCAATAACTCAATCAGTGTACGGTCACAGCAAGATGATATCAGCTGCGTGATACCGTCAACCGTTTCCAGGCGATTAGAAAATACATGCTGGAGACGGTGGTACAAGCAAATGAAAAGGTTGCCAGAAGTATCACCTAGCTGTATCAATTGGAAAAAGGATGAAGACATCACTTGGCTCTACGGTCCCAAGTTTGATACTGACGATTGTATATGCTCGGTCGATTTATCGGCCGGCGCCTGTGATTCTACCGGTGCGAAGTGCGACTCGAGAAATAGCTCGGTTACCTCCTTATCGTCTACGTCCTCACTTCGCACGATGGACAGCGATATTTCGGTAGATTTTGACCGCCCGCTGGAACCTCGGAACAAGCCCGCCTCAAAGTCTAAACCCTTTAAAAAGGTGAAGTTCAACTACATAATAAATTCTCGTGAAATCATAAACGGGAGATCCATTGACTACGGTTTCTTGGACGAAATGTGTCTATAGTTACGAAAAGTATATACCAAATATATGCAAGTCATATATCTTTTAATAATAATTATAATTCGTCATTACTACTCATTAATCTTTAATGTCTGCTCAGCGATTTGCTACATTTTGTTTCTCGTATCCATAAAGAATAATAGCCCGGGAAAACGTCGTCTAATCGCCGTGCGCTTAAGTTCCTAAGTCCCCCACCAAATTCCTTTTTCCCTGGATCTGGCGGTACTTCCGAGGCGACATTTTTGTATGCGCGAGCTTTCGGTATTTAGACCACCGCATGAATGGAAATGGAATTGCCGACGCAATTGTCTAGAATATGTTAAACGCATGGGCCTTTCCGGCTAATAATTTTTCCTATTGCTCTTTGATGGGTATACATTTTTTTGACGTGATGAAGAAATTTTTTGTTCTCTCGGGAAGTATTCTGTTTTCGGTCCCTTACGTTTACGAACTTTGTACTCGCTTCCTCCAGCATGACCCTTCAATTTATAGAGGCAAGGGCAATAGTAGTCAGCTACATATATATGCCTAAGAATATTAAGAGTAATAAATCTCCCCTCACCGAACATTTGGCTATAACCAAAGAATGATTACCGTACGGCGACTACTTGTCACCAGTAGCTCACAGCAACAAGACAGATTGTCCAATCAGCCTTAGGAGTCTACTATTTAGGAAGCGTAATCACACTGATAATAATAAAGACATCTAGCGCACTATAACAAATAATAGCACCATTGTTCGGCTACATGTTATAGAAGGTTTTATGGGCAATATTTTTTTCTACCGTTTATTGTTTGTATTAACTAGATGATCTTGAATTGGGGGAGAATCAGTCCGACTCCTCTATAAAATAATATATATTACATTAATGGTGGATGATCAATCCACCAAATGTCGCACAACATTGCCCAAGGAATTAGCAACATTCACTGCTTGCCCCATCTATATTTGTCCCCATAGAATTTGTGCTATAAAAATAAATAACCCCACTTTCTGAAGCAACTCCTATATTCTTGTATTTTATGATAAGCTAACACGTATGAAATATCATCTATAGGGGTTCCTCAGATACAATACGCTTTATGACGGAATTCTGCACGCTAACTATTGATTTTTTTACCTTATTGAGCACTGGTTTACTCCATAGCAGGCATATTCCCAAAACATTGTTTAGTATGTTGGACTTTTAAAGAGTAATTTTCATAAAATTCAATTATTGTCCTTTCGTGTTCTTCAATTCTTCTTGCAAGTCCAGATTAAATTTTGGCAAGGAATTTATATTATTCATAATTTGTACATTTTGTAATACAAATTCATCATGATTTTTCATTAATGTTTCTAAAGGTTTATTCAATGCTTTCATATATTGCGTTAGCAATTTATATGGATCCTCTTGGCTTGTCATGGAGCTAAATAAGTATAAACGAGACGTGTTTTTCTCATTTGTTTTTTTTTTTTGACTTTCTCATTAGATCCAAATTTGTGTTCTTGTCTTTTCTCTATACAGTGTTTGTACTGTTCATGCCATCTTTATGGAATACTACTTGACAAATGAATAGTGATGATGATTCCGTATTTAATGATGATTTAGATGATTCAGAAATAACTAATCTTATCCATAATATTCCTCTGTCTCTGTCTCTGTCTCTGTCCCTGAAAAGTAAGTTACAAAGGAATCTTTATGGGGAGATAATCCCCCAGCAGTATATTGAAATTGATACATCCAAAGGATATACAGAGTTGCCTCCTACACATCATGTCCTTGATTATGAAAATTTGTCCACATATATTTATCCCACTAACTTTGAGATTCGTGATTATCAATTCAATATTGTGCAGCGTGCGTTCTATGACAATTTATTGGTTGCTTTACCTACGGGTTTAGGTAAGACTTTTATTGCTAGTACGGTTATGCTTAATTTCACCCGATGGTTTCCTCAGGGAAAGATCATTTTCATGGCTCCTACAAAGCCATTGGTAGCGCAACAAATTAAAGCATGTTGTGGGATAACAGGTATACCAACCTCACAAGTAGCAATTTTATTAGACAAATCCAGAAGGAATAGAACAGATATATGGAATTCGAAAACTGTGTTTTTTACCACGCCCCAAGTGGTTGAAAATGATTTGACAACCGGTATTATAGATCCAAAACTGGTTGTATTGTTGGTGATTGATGAAGCTCATAAGTCTAAGGGTAATTATGCTTATAATAATGTTGTAAAATTTATAACCAGGTTCAGTAATTCGTTCAGAATTTTGGCTTTAACGGCTACACCAGCTTCTGATGTAGAAGGTGTTCAAGAAATTATTGATAATCTTTCGATTTCAAAGGTTGAGGTCAGAACAGAACAGAGTATAGATATTTCAAAGTATATGAAAAGAAAAACAATTGAAAGAGTAACTGTGTCACCTTCTATAGAGATTTGTGAAATTGTTGATATGTTATGTACTGCAATTCAACCCGTGTTGTCAATGGCAAATGAACGAAGAATATATGATATGACTGATCCACTGAAAATCAATGCATTTCAAGTAATTGATGCGTCTCAAAGATTATTGAAGAACCCTACTATTCCAGAGGGTTTAAAATGGCAGAATTATTTCATTTTACAAATTTTAAATGTAGTAGGTCAGTCATTGAGGAGGCTAAATATATACGGAATAAAATCATTTTATAATTATTTCGACCAAAAGCACAAAGAGTTCACAACAAAATATAATAATAAAAAGTCAACTAACCAAACAGCTGCTAGATTTTATTTCCACGAAAACATCAACTTAATACTTAGTACGTGTAGAGAATTAATTTCTAATGATAACTACTTAGGACATCCCAAGCTTGAGGTTTTAATCAATGAATTAGATGGATTTTTTAAAGAAAACGAAGAAAATGATTCTAGAGTAATCATTTTTACTGAATTTAGAGAATCTGCTCTAGATATTGTTAACTCTATTGAAAGGATAGGAAGTAACCTAAAGCCACATATTTTTATCGGTCAATCTAAAGAGAAAGAAAAATTTGATGAAGAAACGTATTTAAGCAAGGGCAAAAAGAGTAAGGCAAAAGGAAAAGCTACGAAAGGCAAGCAAAAGAATACTGAAACTTCTGAGAGATCGACTTCACGTACCAGTTCAGAGGATGCACAGATTAAAGGTATGAATCAAAAATTGCAAAAGGAATTAATCAAAAAGTTTAAAAAAGGTGAATACAATATATTAGTCGCAACATCTATTGGTGAAGAAGGTTTGGATATTGGTGAAGTTGATTTAATTATATGTTATGACTCTACCAGTTCCCCGATTAAAAATATTCAAAGAATGGGTAGAACTGGACGTAAGAGAGACGGTAAAGTACTTTTATTGTTTGCTGGCAACGAGGAACTGAAATTTGATAAAGCAATGGCTGGATATGAATTTATTCAACAGCATATAATGCATAATAGACTAATAACATTAGCTCAAAGTAATCGAATAATACCGAAGAATTATAAACCAATAGTTGAGAAGAAATTTATAGAAATTCCGGAAGAAAATACGGAAATTGAGGCTGAAGAAGATGAGGATGAAATTATAAGAATTGCCACAATGTATATGAATAATAAAGGTGATAAAGTAACTAAGCCTAAGTCTAACATTAAGTCTAAATCCAAAAAAATTGAAAAGAGATTTTTCATGCCTGATAATGTTATAACTGGTTTTCAAAATGTTACTAATATGATTAAAAAGGCAGACAGTGATAAATCTGTGGCAGATACTAGAAGAGAAAAAGACCTCTTAGATAAGCTTTTAGAGTCTGATACTGAAGATGAATTAATGATTGAAGGAAAAAGTTCTCCTGTAAAAAATGATCAGCAGAGAAAATCAAACTCGAACTGTACGCGGGAACAAGATTTTAAGGATGGAATTGAAAATATTAACAATAAAGTTACTGGTGATTTTGCAACTGTTAATAAAGAGAATAAAGAATCAGGAGCTTCGAAATCGCCGCCTTGTCGTGGAACACCGTCTGCCTTAGGAATAGGACGCTTATCGCCCCAAAATGGTAAGACTATAAATATGCCTACTTCTCTGATTGAAGAAACGACACCAGAAGTAACAGAAAATATGGAACCATCGACTGTTAATGTAGCTGAGAAAAGAAAATCTCCAAATATGGATGCAAATAATCGAGAATTTGCGCCAAAGCAAAAGACCTTAGGCTTAAAAAGACGAAAAGCAAATAATATTACCGATCAGCTTAAGCAGCAATATAGTAGGGTGATTAAACCTAATACAGCCAACCAAACAATAACTGTTAATGAAGACGAAAACTTAATGAAAGATTACATAAACAACGAGCAAAGTTATAAAAATAAGATTACGGAGTCTGCTATAGATGATGCATTTGATGAGGCCGACGTGTTCGATGATGGCTTAGATGATGAATTAGTGTTGATCGCCAACGACAAAATATCTTCCTTTGAACGATCATCATCGCCAAATTTTCCTGTGAGCAAACCTTCAGATCAAGTCTATAAACATGAATTCTCCTCGGGAGAAGGACTTCTTAATCAAGAAGAAATGCTTGAACTCTACACCTCATATTTTTCTATTTTGGATCCTGCCGATAGAATTGATTTTTATGATCCATTGAATTTTAATAAGCGAAACTCATCAATACACCATCATGGACAAATTGGACATAGTCAGGCTTCAAGAAGGCTTCTACAATCTTCCAAATTTATGGGAACAACTTCTACTACAACTGCTAAAAATATGATGGAACGCTATAAGCAAACTTACGATCTAATACATCATGAAAATAGTAGTATTGTTCAAAAAATAACGAAAACAGACTCGAAATAACGATGTTATAGATATAAACATGTATATATTTTATGAACATTTTAATTACTGCAAAAAGTGGTAATAATTTTTCCTTATATGCTGTGTTACCCGGATAAATGTCTGTTGTATAAAAGCGCTCAATCTACCTTTAAAATGGTTTTAACCATTTTCCTTCTTCTCTTCTTCTTTATCTTTATGCAGGGGCATTACGTGTATCAGTGAGGATTCGTCCGAGATCATGTTTTTGCTGGTTGAAAACTATAACCTGACAGCTCCTTATTATTATGGCTTTATGCCTTTGATATTAAGGGAATTTTTGGAATTCTTCTTTTTAGATTTGACACTTCTTGAAGGTCATTATCAATTCTTCTATGTCAAAATGAATACAGTGAGGGCATTGTATTTGAAATAGAAGAATGGAAGAAACTCTTCTATTATAGTAGTTTTTATCGCCTTATGCCTCGCTCGGTTTAATGATGCCATGATTAAATCTTGAGCTGGATACAATTATTATCCGCTTGATCGCAAGATTAAGCATATATATAAATAATAAATTGTAAGAGGTCAGAAAAATTAAAGGTTTCCTTTGAGTGCGATGACACCAATGTTGTATGACAGGATGGTGGCATTGTAATTATAAACCTTTACATTTATTGTAGCTTTATAGCGTAGGTTGTGAACATAGATAGAACAACTTTTGGTTTTGTGTTACGAATACAAAAGAATGCTGAAAAGCGATTCGGGATGAGCTTTTGTTCATCTGTTCGTAAGAGAACAGAGAGAGAAAGAAATATTTCAGTAACCGACCGAGTAACATGTTCAAGAAATTCACAAAAGAAGATGTTCATTCTCGTTCTAACATTAAATCATCTGCTCAAAGAGGCTTGAAGTCTAAATTTGTTGAGCAATTCAAAGATTTAGAACCAGTGATCGACAATATCATACCGAAGAAATCCCAAGCCATTCTTATTAAATGTGAAGATAAGATACAATTATACTCCATTGACAACGAGGTTGTTTTGTTTCAACATTTTGATGACTTGATTCCAGATTTGAAAGTAGTCCATAAATATCCACAATGCTTCCCAAGAGTTCAAGTTGACCGTGGTGCTATCAAATTCGTCTTGTCAGGTGCAAATATTATGTGTCCTGGTTTAACATCTGCTGGTGCCAAATTGCCGGAAGAATCATTGCCAGAGGATACTATTGTCACTATATACGCTGAAGGAAAGGAGCATGCCTTAGCTGTTGGTAAATTAATAATGAGCACTGATGAGATCAAGTCTAAAAATAAGGGAATTGGTATTGAGTTATTACATTACTTGGGTGATGGTTTATGGGGGTTAAAAGAATAAATATGCTTAGCTATAAATAGATAAATAACTCTATGTATTTAATGTCACATATAGTTTCTGATTATCCAGAAAACCAAAATTACCGATCGTTGCAATGTTATCATCTAAATACTCTTTAATCTTATCTACTGCATCCTCTGCTTCATTGATATAATAAAAGACTCTAAATTGTAATATCGACCGATTTAGATTTCTTGAAATCACTCCTTTCAAGCGTAGTATCGAATTATCTGTCAAAAATACACGTTCTGTAATTTGACGGCCAAACTCAGTATTTATATTCAACTTTATCTTCTTTCGACTAATATTGTTCCTTTCTTCTCGGGATTGAGGTATATCTTCTATTTGATATTTTTCCATTAATAACTGCCACCTTTTACTTTTACGATCATAATTATAATCCCCATTCCTTACTTTAGAAATAAAGTATAGTTCTGCATTAGTAATTTCATCATCCAGAATAAAGGCACCATTTAATTTATTCACTTTAGATCCGTTCTTTGTAGTCTTTGCTCCCAGGAATTCAAATCTAGCAATCAAGTTGATGGTCATTTCTTCTATTGAAATACTACTAAAGACTGGATTCCCATTAATCCTGAGCTCTTTTAAGTCGGGGAATGCAAGATACATTTTATCTATTATATTCCATGCGTTTATCCTGTTGTTTCGTAAATCAACACAATGAATAGAATTGAATACCATATCTTCACGAATATCTGAGATACAATTATTTGCTAAGTTGAAGTAACTTAAAATATTCAGCTTATTTCTAAGGTGAGGTACAGTTTGCAATCTATTATATGATAAATCTATATTCCACAATGAATCATGGTTAATTGATACATCATGGAAAACTTCATCCGTGTACCTATTGCCAGCCAAGGTAATATTTTGCAAATTTGGAAATTTAGGCAAAATTTGGTGTATAACTTGTCGTATGGTTATATTTGTTGACGCAAGATTTATAGTGTGTAATTTATTATGGTGTTTTGTAGGAGTATGCTTCTCATCATTAAAAAATCTATTTCCATTGAGGTTTAGTTCCGTCAAATTTTCAAGTGGATCAATAATGTCCCAGACATCATTTAAATCATTAAACAAATTATAGCTCAAATCCAAACTTGTAACATTATTCAAATTATCGAAGATTCTATTAACCCCGTCAGATTTATCAAAGGAAGTATATATACTTTTCTTCTCTAGAGAAACTGATACTAAATTATTGAAATCGGATTGAATTTGATTCAACTTTTCAAATCCATAGCTTTCTGCAATCTTGGTCCCAAATATTATTGTACTTTTGGAATCAACGCTAGTGCTAGAATATTGTCGTAAGAGGGCCTCAATAAAGTTATATCTCTCTTTTACTATCTTCTTGTTATTTATCTTTAGAAATGAACCTGCTCCGTCAACTTCTGTCTCAAAATATGATATACCTTCCAAGGTACCATTATTTTTGCCTCGTTCTGATTGATCCCACTCTATTCCTAAAGCTGTCACGTTAGGACCCCATACATTACTAGGCAATTGTCCAATAAACCTAACAGTACCCAATTGGCCATCCACAGTTATTATTCTATCAAGTTTTTCATACATATATGTGACTTTCGCTTACATGTACATCGAGTACGAAAATAAAGAAAATAAAAATTGAGGTTATCTCCAGCTCGTACATTATTTTTATCTACAAAAAATTTTAAGAATTTGAAATATAGAACATATTTATGATTAAGTAGAGAGACCAAAATTGTCACCCAATAAGCCATCTAAATCGAATTCCTTGGCCCAAGTACTAACAACAGTAGTTTGTTCGATTTTTGGAGGTTCCTTTTCACCTCTCATTGAACTTTTTGGACCGTCAACATTTACGTCAGCCATATCAACACCATCACTGGTGCTCTTTGAAGCCTTTGGTAATGTCCAACCAATAATTCTGCCATCTCTCCAATCATTTAAGACCGATGTTGCAGCGGATTCTAAGTTTGGAATACCACCCTTTCCCAATCTTCCTTTAGTTCTAGCAATATGAATTAAAAACTGCTTCGAGAACTCATTAAGGTCAGACGATGGTAATGGAGGTAACTGATAATATTTTTTTAATCCATCAGCCATCTCTGGATCTTTTGAAAATCTTTTTAATAACATATTAACAGCAGCTGTTGGATCAACGATTTGTTTAGGAGGTATAGCAGATAATAATGCCAATTTTGCTTCTTGATTAGATTTAGATGACTTCTTACTAGTAAGTTCATCAGGGAATACTATACCTGGAGAATCCAAAATCTTCAATTTATTATCGATTTTAACTTCCCTCATTGATGTGGTGACACCCGCTTGGTTACCGACAGGACAAGCTTTCGTATTATTGCCATGTCTATTGGTTAAAGCATTAATTATAGAAGATTTACCAACATTTGGGTATCCAATTACACCCACTATGATAGATCTCTTTAAATTAGACTTAGTAGCATAACTCTTTAAAGCTTGTAATAACGAATTTGCAGTCATGGTTGAAGTTAGGTTTTTATTAAATGAATTGGCGTTAGCACCTGATGCAGCCTTAACCGGGACAGTTGGGAACGATGACTTTAAAAAGTTGAGCCATTGGTTCAAAGCATTAGTTGGAATCAAATCAACCTTATTCAATACCAATATTAATCTCTTACCTGGATTTTGTAAAACAGCTTGTTCGACTTTTCTTGATCTTGTTGCTTCTGGGTCTCTAGCATCCAACACGTACAAAACAACATCAGCAGCTTCCACGACAGTCTTGAAAATCTTATCATATGCCTTACGAGACTTATCTAATTCACTTCTATCCTCTTCATCATCTTCAGAAGCGCTTAATTCATATTCAACATCTTCATCTGAATCAACCATCTCATCATTTTCTTCTTCAACACCATCGTATTCCTGAGCTGCTTGTTGTGCTGATTCTAATAATGCTGCTAATCCACCTTCTTGGTCTTCTTCCTCATCTTCTTCCATCACATCATCAACAACTTCTCCCTTGGCTAAGGCTTCTTGTCTTTCTTTTTGTCTTTGCAATTTCATCTCTTCCTTTCTGGCTTTGTCTAATGCTCTACCTTCTTCTAATTCCGTGATAATTCTATCCTTGTATGGAAAACTGGCTGGAATACCAGGATCTTTCTTATTCCTTGATTTCCAGGTGACATCTTTCTTCGATAACTTCCTATTCTTTCTATTTTGTGCAGCTGCCTTCTTTTTAATACCTTCCCTCATACGGGTGGTAGATCTCTTTGATGTTGGCTTCTTAACTCTCATCTTTAGAGAACTTTAGTAATAATCTATTGTTTGGTTAAATTGATTTACAAGTTTTGTTAAGTTATCTGATACTATATGTGAAAAAAAAAAATTAGAGAAGAGCTGCACATCATCTCCTGCACATAATTGAAAGATTAAATTTCACTACAATAACGTCAAAGACAAGATCATGGAGACATATTTGTAATGGTATTGATTGTCTACTCTTAAGATAACTAAGACTTTATATATAAGGTACTGGTAGTATTAGATATAAAACTTTTCTAAATTTTTAAGCAACGTATATTTATGCTAAGTTCTTTCGGTGTCGTTATTTGTTTCTCTCAAAATTTTTTGCCCTCTGTATGGAACTATTACTTGAGGTCCTAACTAATGAATCCCAACTCCTATTGTCCCCATACTGAAATAAATTTCCTTGGTTTTTCTTTGGCAATGAAAAAGGTTTACTCATAAAATTTGTAGGACCTGAATGGATTGAGTCGGTGTCATTTCTATCATCTGACCTGTCTATCTCGGATAAATTCATTGTCGATCTAGTTCTTAATACTGAAAGATCAGGCATGTTTTTTGGAGTTGCTGCACTTGAAATCATCCCTTCCTCAAGATTTATATTAATGTCATTCTGGTTCAGAAAATCCAGGTAAATAGCATCATTCGAGAAATATTTGTTTACACCAGGTAATTTAGATCCCATGCCATTGATGTACAGTTTCACGGACTGAGGTGATAAAGTTTCAAGTCTCCTGAACCCATGAGTCCATTTCATGTGTTTCTTACCAAAATGGTAAACAAAAAAAAACAATAAGAAAATAAATATAATTGAATAAATAAAATTGCTCTGTAACTCGTCCTCATCTTTATCACTATCATAAGCAACGTCTAAGATTCCTGATCCTGTCACAAATTCCTTACCAGAAATTTCACTTGGATATACGCCGATTTCTAAATCATTATTGTCTTTTTTTGGTTCAATTTGACTAGAGGCAAATAATAACATTTTACCAAGAGTCCAAGATAATTCGCCGCCGTTCACAGAATCCGCTGATTTGAAGGGAACATGTACTTCATCTATCTTTTTAATTTCTTCTGATTCCTTTTCTCCGGCTTCTTCTTCAGGAACTTCAAGTCCAAGTCTGGGTAATCCAAACCCTTCATGCAAAATGTTAATAACCCAACTTGCCTTAAAGCAAGCATCTTTTAAAAACTTGTCTGGATTTAAATTAGAATAATGGCCCTTTTCTGAATTAGCCAATATATCATTCCAATTACTTTCACAATATCCACGAACTTTCTCATTGAAGCTTAGATAATTGTATTCACCACCGCTTTGAAAAATATCATTAGCTGTGTACCAATATTCAGAAATTCCTACAAATTTATCCTCTTTAAAGTTCAACTGAGGTCCATGGATACCATTGAATAAACAAGGTTCGTCTTTACACGGAATGTTTTTCATAAGCAATGGATAAATGGTCTTTAAGCACATTTCATAGTTGCCTATACCTTTAATTGTATATGTGACCTTTTCGTGTTCATAGTTCACCTCCGCATCTTTAGGCAAACATGGATCATTAATTTCAGCTCCTAAATTGGGGTTTGAAATAGACAAGTTTATCAATTGTTTCAAATACCTTTTACGGGACTCATTAGCACCAAAACCCAACCATGTTTCAGAAAACACATTCCATTTTTGGTTTTCTCCATTAATATTTCTCAATATCACTCTAGATAAATCGTCTTCGTGCTTTTTTATCTCTTCGTTTGATGAAGGTACAAAGGCTATTTGCGTTGAAGCCCCACCCATATCCATGAATCCTATCGATTTATGTACTTTATCCGAGCTTTTGTATTTGTTAAATTGGCCCATCAAGTAATTCAAACTAAGCCAACCATATATTCCTTCTGTCTCTCCATCAATAATTTGAACAAAGTTCTTGCAATTTGGCAAATAGAAGTTGGTATTTTTTTGTATGGAAGAACAAGTCTCCTTTAATATCATTTTCTTCTTAGGAGGGGACAATAGTCTCATACCTGCTGTAGCTAATACAAAGACTGGTGTATCACTATGTTTATTCAGAGGAATGATGTCTTCGGCATATTTCATTAGCTTAGCGAAATGCTTTGGCCAAATGTCTTTAATTTTACCCTTATCATCGAAAGAAGAAATTCCAGGGCTAGTCTTATATGTCCAATCCTTTTCTTGAACTATCATAGGTGGAGAAGATAAAACATCTTCTTCCTTACCATGCTTTTTAGTATATTTTGGATCCTCCCATCGATATATTTGGACTCGAGATCCTGAAGAACCAGAATCCACCACTATCCCATACTTATAAGCAGGAGATGAGTCAGGAATTTTCATGATTTATAGGTTATTTTAATATTTTGGTCCATAATGCTACACGACGATCATTTCATTTTTTCGATATCAAAATCCTGAGAATACATACAAAATTATGGAACACGCATTGTAAGGCTATCTGATAATCCTCATTACACTTATAAATACCAACATTTCAAGATATGATTATCCTTCCCGATACACCTCCTTTGGCTAAATCACATACTTTTAGTACGGGAGTTTTGAATCCTCAATTGATATCTACAAGAGCCTCATTCGTTACCAGTGCTACAAGAAACAGTAACGAGCTTGTAAGAGATGTTGTTAAACTTGAAGAATATCTTCAAGATTTGTTCAAATATGCTAATTCTGAATCAGCTTCTAACGATATGTCCAAAATAATACAATTCTGCTGCAACTACACAATTTCTGATTCAGGAAAGCTCCCTTGGACAAATATATATGTCGATAACCCCAAAGAACCAAAGAAAAATGTACTTGGGAAAGTTATAAAAAGTAAGAGTACTAATATCCAGTGGAGCTTAATGAATGAGATAGAAGCAGTTATTATTGGAATAAGTTTAATATATACAAGACTAGGTTCTGTATTAGTAAATGAATTGATAGAAGTTGACCCCACAAGTGAACTGAATGATGAAACAAACGAAAAATGGAAACAAGTTAGTAACTATTATAAGAAATCCCTATCGTTTTTATCTTTCGGAAAGATAGTACTGTCTACTTTTAATCCTCTGGGCAATTGTTTCAATTCATTTCTTTATTCCCTATTAGATAAGATAAACAATATATGCATTCAGATGTCTATTTTATCAAAATCTTCATGGATTAATCGGAACTATTATAATGAAACTGAGAATTTTAAAACCAAAAACAATGGAATGCTAAGCAAAGTTGCAATATATGTTGTAACTGAATTAAGAGATTGCCAAAACATGTTATACAATCTTCATACTAATCAAGAAGGATCAATCAACCTCCAATATAAAAACTGGAAGGAATACCTTAGTGTGATAGAAAAATATGCTACAGCCTATGCAAGTCTATTTTTATCCATTGAAAAGTATCAGCAAGATAGCTTGGGTAATGCAATAGGATTAATAAACTTTGGGCTTTTAAGCTTGCAAAGTAAGAACCTCAATGAGGTCAAACCTAAACAGGGAAAACTACTTACTAAATTCAAGTCAAAAGTTTCAGTTCGTAAAAATGAACAATATATTAAGGATTTGCAGTCAATAACCACTTTAAATATTGATAAATCATTGTTTCAAGAATCTTCAGGTATAATATTGAAGGATTTGACATTTTTATTTGATCAATTAATTCAGTTACACCTTAAATTTACAAAAGAGAATAACAACATAAAGTTTGATACAATATCAGCCTGGAAAGATATTGATAAAGATTCAAAGTGGCCCCTTGGCTGCAGCATACCTAGCAGCAGTGTAAAACCATATGAGCCTTTTGGTGAATCATTGAACCTGAATTCGACCGATGAGTACTCAGGAAGGGGGGCTTATTATTAGGTTTGCGTATAATTCTACATCTTGGCATAAATATTTCATAAATAAGATAATTCTAAAGTAATATAATTCTATATAATTTGTAATTAAAGAGTAAACCAACTTAGTTATTTTAAATCTCATTTACAATATTGTCAAATAACTGCAAAAATGTTCAATTATGCAAAATTATCTTCTAAATGATTTAAAAAGTCGAAAAAAATATTTGGTTACATATAAATAATACATGCTATTAGTTCAAGTAATTATGTTATCATGGAGCAATTTTTATTCAGATCTATGTTGTTTGGGTGGTATGGGATGACATGTAAGTATTATCCTTAAGTCTAACTGTTGCGATTATAAAAACGAGCGCATTTTTGGCAGATAAAAATTCCGCCCTCACATTATCGAAAAAAGATAGCAGAAGTACAATTAACAATTTAAATATATTATATATATAGAGTGATAATATATACTGAATGTAATTTAGTGAATAGATACAAATATAGAGTGTATGTCTTGCCTGGAGATTGCATAGTCAATTTCTCTATCGAAGTCATTTTTAAGGATATTATTTAATCTCGAAAAGTAATCAATAAATTGAACTTCCATGTCTGTCCATAATTTGTCTAGTAAATCCTTTTCAAACATATCACTACCAGTTATGAAATGCTTCTCTAATTTCCTGAAAATTTCAGCAGCTTTAACGGATACATCCTTTGAAGTATACCCGGTCAATAATGATTTAACGTATTTTTTATTGTATTTCTTAGGCTTGCCATTATTCATTTTAACCAACGCTTCGTAATTATCAACGAATTCCACCAACTTACCAATGTTTTTGTGAAGGAGCTTATTGAAGTACGATTCTAAAACCTTATTGAAGACAGAATTCAATTGTGATCTCATTTTGGTTATGCCCGGAGAACTGAAAACTGCTAACTGTTCAGTAAGATAGAATATGTTTTGGATTATGCTGACGTTACGATGCTCTCTTTCTTTATCATCAAAATCGTGGTTCTTCAATAACGGATCATCTCTCATAAACAAGTGAATAGTAGCTTCAGAGATTTCTTTATAGGATTCTGCTAACATTGCTCTGACTTGGGACTGGTCAAGACTACCAAAGAGTCTACCTGGTTGGTCTAAAGACGATTCAGTAACCAATAACACTTGATTAACATTCTTGATTGCTGGCAATATACCACAATGAGCAATTATCGCGGATTTGTTCAATAGGCTTAATTGAGACTTGATGAATTTGGACCAAATAAGTCTAAACTTGTCAGAAGCCTTTTTCAAAAAATTAAAACATAAGAATTCTTGATTTGATTTCTTATTTTCATCAAGCAAATTTTGCAAATAACATAAAAGTAATGGTATATTTAATTCTGTTGGGGTAACTTTTTTCATGAAGATATTAATGTATCCACCGAACACGGCATTCAAGTTGGAAATCGAGTCATTTGAATAACTCATATCATCATCTATATCCAATGATGGATTATCAAGAGTTGCACGCCTTTCTGGATAAGGCTTGTTTTGGCAATACTCGTTAAAATCGATGATATTACTATCATAATGGAATAGTCTACCAGTGATATATTGTAATACAAATATCACATCTCTCGTGCTATTTATTATGTCAACAATTGCTTTTGGATCATCGATTTCGTTAGAATTCTTATTTTGCTTTAAGCCTTGTAATTCTTCTTGATTGACTTTGCTAATATGCTTTTCTCGTCTTGTAGATAATCTTAATGTTCTAGATTTCTTTAAAGGCATATCACTATCTAAAGATTGAGATAGATGTGCAGATACTGATGAAGAGGAAAACTTCAAATTTTTCAACTTGTGAGTAATCATTCTCTCCAAGAAATCGCTCATCAAAAGATTGAAATTCCCATTTATATCTTGAAAATCGCTTGGAGAGACACCCTTAACGAAGTAGGTATAACCTGAATATATTAAAAGATTGTTAAGTTCTCTAAACATTGCTTGAGGATAAAAATCATCCATATTTTGCATCATTTGTTGAGATAATAATCCGAACTGATCTTTTATGAAGCGACTAAAATGTCTAATAAAGCTAGCTGTGACGTGCTCATAATTTGATTGATATTGCCTCAACGCCCTCATAGAACTTAAACTATCGGTGTTTTCATTATAATCAAGTCTAATAGTTTCTAAGGCATTAAATAAGCCAACCAATTTAACTTCTATAGCCTCTAATTTATTTAAGCGATCAAATTCCCTAAATGATTCGATAGCTCGTAAATCGTCGGAATGCATGCTAACCTTATTCAATATACTGCTCAAATCATTGTATAATAATTTCTTATTAACAGACTTCACTTGAAGACCTTTAGAATTATTTTCAATCAAGTTGACTTCGGGACCAAGAAATTTAAAGTCTATTTCCATTTTTTTGAAAATATGTGTTAAATTCTCGATTTCACTCAATGAAGTTGTTACATCATTAGAAACTGAATCTTTGCTAAAATCCAATGTAACTAAATCCTTAACATTACGAAATTTCACATTGTTTAATTCCTTCGTCAACTTTCTAATCAAGGAATCACTGTTATCTGATATAGACCAATTAACCTCATCTAAGATTTCTTCCAACTCCGCATCTTTTTCTCTTTGAAATTCAGAACCTTTATTATCAATATTCAATCCAACTTCCGATTGTTCAGTATATTCTTGTGTAGATATTGTTTCATCTTCTAATTGATGTCCTCTAAAGTCCAGATCATTCCCTTGTTGTAAGCTAGGTATTATATCATCCTCACTAATTTCCCTTTGACTAATATTGCTTTCAAGCGTCTCATTTTGACTGATTTGTCTTGAGTTATCAACCGATTCATCACCCGGAGCAAAATAAAGCTGAGAATCCATGTAATTTTCAATATCTTGTATAGAAGAATCGATCGTGTTATTTACATGAGTGTTGGCAGATTTGTTATCAATCTGAGTAATAGGTTCTTCTCGATTGACAGGAGCCTGCTTACTATCAAAGGCTGAAGCTCTACGTTGGGGTTCTTGTTCCTCATCACTATCATTTTCAACTTCCTCGATACTATAGTCAGGCGAAACATTTCTAGCGGGAACTTGGAAGGAATGAGCAGAATCCGCAGAAGTATCTTTATCTGGAACATTATGAAGCTGCTCTTCAAGTCTAATACCTAAGGCGGCTGCCGACTCTAAAGGCTCAGATACTTTTCTTTGCTCAACTTCGGTGGAGATTCGTCTAGGTTTATAGTTTCTCAATGGCGAAGTAGATTTCTCTTCATTTGCTTTCACATATTCTCTAAGCTTTTCAGGGGAATATGTATTATCAGCATGGAAAACAAAATTTTGTGAATCCTGAGTAGTATCGGAGCTTCTAAGCGGAGAATTGACTTGATACGGATGTTTAGATTCACGTTTGGGCGTAGATGGAGTATTCGACGGTTCCTTGTCATCAAAAGTGATATAATTATCAACAAATTCTTCATTTGTATTTTGTAATTCTTTCGATTGGTTCAATTTATTTGCCGATGAATTCTGATTATCCACCTGGTCAAGTGATGACGTTGAAGGTCTATCAACTTGCATTACTTTCATAGGTTTAGAAGGTAACTTTCCATTTGCAGTAAAATCCATATCTTTATAGAAATCGTTTTGTTTTCCGTGCTCGTGATATATTTGTTGAGGAAGAGGTTGCGGTGGTAAAACTGGTTTTGGTAAGTTCTTTCTTTTCAAAGATTTGGTTTTCAATAACTGAGGATGTGGCTGTGGTTCATTAACAACAATATCGTTACCACTATCATTTCCGCCCATACTAGGAGAAGAATTTCCTAAATGTTTTTTCTGTGGAGAAGGCGATATTTTAAAATCTTCAATAGAAAAACCATTCAAAGTTGGGTATCTACCCATAAATCCACCGTATGCATTCGTCAAAAACCTTGCAAACTTCCAAACTCTTTCTGCACCTCCCTCTACACTCCAATAGTAATCTTTATTCAACGTTAAAATAATGCCATCTTTTCCACATTTAGTAATGGTTTTTAATTCGTCCATGTCCCATGTACGACCGATTTGATATACGTCTTTATTTTCATTATATTTACCCTTCTGTATTAAGACTCTACCAGAATATTTGATGCAGAGAACCAAAACACGGTCTTTGACGGTTCCAATTTGACTAGGCGGAAGGTTATCTGGGGGAGGACGTGAAGGAAATGACGAGTATTCCTTGATACTAACATGTGTTTGATATGAGGTTTCAACACATGGCTTACCACTTCTATCAAGAATTCTTTTAGAATAGCAATCAGCAATTAATTTATCTGCTACCTTTCTTCGCTGCTGTTCTAGAGTTTCTTGGGATAATGAGGGTTGATTTCTTGGAGCAAGTTGGGTTCTTTGCTGTTGTATAGGTGCTCTTTGAGGTTGAATCACTGGTCTTTGCGTCTGCTGGACTGGCCTTTGATGCTGATTAGGCCCTCTAGGATACATAGTAAGCTTTTATTGACACAATTCTTCTCTGTTTAGTCGATTCTCGAATAAGTGAAAACTAAATTTTCTGGACTATATTCGTTAGATGAAAGATCGCACTATTAATTGGTCTTGCAAATTGTGTTTGACTCTTGTATTATTACACAATTAAAAGACTGTAGGATTGTATTGCTTTGAAAGGAATAGTCTCTATTCTGATTATGATTTGTTTTCATAATTGAATCTCGAAAAAGTTCGCGGTCTATGGTTATCGACCATTTAACAAGCTACATTATACGAATACTAATTTAATATATAAAGTTATATATACACATAGGATTAAAGAGGCATTATATTACAGAAAATTTATGAGTAATTAGTATAAATCATGTCTTCTTTCCTTTGCCGGACTTTTTCTTTTTATTCTCGGAAGTTTTATTATCACCATCGTTTTGGGATTCACTTACAGCTTCAGCATCGGAGTCTGAAAGCACCTTTTCAGGTGTATTAGCGCCAGATTGAGAAGCAGATTTGTTTTTTTCTTTAGCAGTCTTGGTAGCACTTGATTTTTCATCTACTGCTTCTGCAACATTGGACTCGGACTTTTCTACGTAATACTGCCACATGTCAGACAAGCTCTTTGATCTTTCATCCATGGAATTTAACCTTCTTCTTAAGGCTTCGTTGAAGCAAATTTCTTGAGCAACAGGGAAAAATTGCTGAACCCAACCCTTTTTATACGTTTCACATTCTTGCACGATTTCCTTCAATTCTATTTCTTGAAATTTGGCTTGTATTTGAAAGTTCTTAAATACATCATCCCCAATTAAACCATCTTGATACAATTTGTTAAAAATTGGTTCGTTTTCTTTTAATTTCAATGATCTTCTAATAGCTTCCACTCCTCTTCTCAACAATGCAGCTTTCATAACTTTAGTATGTGGCTTTGTTTCCGCAGTAGCTTCAGGGTTATTATACTGTTGTTTTAAAAATAAATATAGGTTTAATGTATGATTTTCTGAAAATATTGGTTCCACTTTAGTCAATTTGTTCAACTTCTTACGTCTATAAATAATCGAAAACGCAATGAAACATGTCAACAACACCCCGACATATATTAATGGAGTGTAAATGGAGATCTTAATCTGCTCCTGTGTTGTTTCTTGTTCATCCATGGCAAGTAACTACTATGCTGATCGTTTTCGGTTGTTTAATTCTATCGCTATACACTAACAACACGTCAATGAAAAGTGAGTGGCCCTTTGCTGGAATCAACACTACGTGCACTTACCAAAACATTCATTATATCCTATACCCTATGATATTTACATTTCAACGGAATCTATAACAATGAATAGCTATGAAACTCTACAGAAAAACCAAGCCAGCTCTCAAGCGTTGAATTCTGAAACAATTAATTTTGAGGACCTTAGAATGTGTTTAAAACTTCGGTATTCGGCACAGGACCCAGCATCACTTCGACAGATACTTTTTTGTTTCTCAGTAGCGTATTATAGAAAATCTGCAGTATTACCACGCAGATTCGCTTCTTCTGGCTCTTACACCAATGAATCGGGTGAGAATATCGAACAATTCATCGATTTGTTTATCGGAATATGCTTCTACCCTTTCTTTCAAAGTAGCATTGTCGGCCCCAACCTCCAATAATCTCTTCGCACCTTCCATATCCACCATTTCGTTGTTATTCTCCAAAAATTCCTTCAAATGCTCTTGTTGGTCCATGGGAATGACCAACTCATAGAATTCACAGAGTTGCACAATGTCATATTTGCTCAAGCTCAAAAGATCGCCAATGGTGGCAGGAAAAACATCTTCTTGTGGATCGTCTCCGTCTTTATTAGCAATGGGAGCAATAAGCCCATCTTTATCTTTGCTACTCAAATGAGAATTGATCGTTCTTCTGATATTTCTGTCTTCAAGCATATCCAACTGTCCTTGCAATTCACCTACCAACTGGATAATGTCTTCATTTGTAGCGTAATCATCCATATCAACATTCGCTGCCTTAGAACTACTTTTCTCGGTGTCAGCATTCATCTTGCTCTTCACATCTTTAACTTGAATATCCATGAGCTGTTTGCCAGTCTTTGCAATCAACTGTGACTGCATTTCCACAACTTTAGACAAACTCTGCACTTGATCGTGTAGTTGTTCCAATGTAAGATCTTTTTTACCCTCCATTATGCTGAATAATAAATATGATGATAGACAAATTCATCATTATATATCAAGTATCTCATATAAGAGCGGACTCGATTAGATCTAGAATCACGTGCCAGAGCCTCCTTCTACCACTTTTCAATTACGTCACTGTTAGAAACATATATGATAAAAAGTCGACGATGAATTTAGCATCATAAAGTATTGTAAAGTATTATTCTGATAAGTAGAGAATTCAAAATGGATAAAATTCAATTAATGACACAACCTGAAAAACCTTCTGCGTCTGAGGCGCCTCAAGAGAGGACATTGCAAAAATTAAAGGATCTTGTTTCTGAGTACCTGCCTGATGCTAAAGACGAAGAGCAAGAGGCGGAGAACAAGGAGAAGACGGAGGAGGAGGAGAAAGGAAAAGACAAAGAAGGCAATGGTAACAAGATTAATGGTTTGAGTAAGCGTGAAGACGGGCAACCGGTCGACAAAGTCACTCAAGGCAGTGCTGATGCTAAGGAAGGTTCTGAACAGACACAAGAAAAGGAGGATGAGAAAGAGCGAGAGGATGATGCAGTTGAATACGATGAAGATGGGTTTGAGATTCCACAGGGTAAAATCCCGCTAGACGGGCATTTTTCTACCAGTGAGATCAAAGAATTGGTCAAATTATCCAAGGAGGAAGGTATTTTGAAGGAGGACATTAATATTAAGGTACTCGAGTCGAACGAAGCGATTGGAGACAAGGTAGTTATATCAGAAGAACCGGATAAAGATAAGAAAAATAAAGATAAAGAAGATGAAGATAAAGAAGGTAAAGAAGATGAAGATAAGTCGAAGGTAGATAGAAACGAGAAGAAAAATGAGGAGAATGAGAAGAGCTACAAAGATAAGAGCGCTGATAACTCTATTGATCCGAAGGATAAGGCAAAACAATATCAAAACAAAGGCGAATCAGAATAAATTATCGCAGGCGATAAGAAGTCGAAGTTTTCTGAGACGGTCTTGGAGCTATATGAGGGTCTCCTCTGAGGTGTACTTTCTTATTTAGAATTTTATTTATGAATTCACGCTGTACTATGTAATCTATAGTGCTTGTAGAGGGTGGGCATCATAGGATATTATTTACGTAGGCGATAGTCAAAAAATGTTTTGGAACTTGATGCGCGAGAATAAATATAAAACTACCATATATAACATATGCCGAGGTTTAAACCACCATACATCCCAACCAAGAGCACTATATACTTCTATAAAGCGAACTGATAAATGGATTCCAATTATAGAGGCAAAGCACGGCTAAATAGAAGTATACTATTGCTAGTATCGTTCTTCGGTTTAGTGCTATTCTATTTGACTGGGTATCTATACACAAGAGGCTTGACAGGAGCAGATTCCCCAGGATGTAGAATAGTGTATATGGGTCCTTCATATGCCAGAATAACAGCATTTGATGAAAGCCATACTAAGTTTGCTTCAAAGTATTCTTTATATCTTTATAGAGAACAAGGAAGAGATCCTCTTCCGGATGAAAACGAAGGGTTTAGCCATTTAGGAGGAATACCGATACTATTCATACCCGGGAACGCAGGAAGTTACAGACAAGTGAGATCCATAGCTGCAGAGACTTCAGATTTATATTTTGATCATTATTTGGAATCAGATGATTTAAACCCTAACGCAAAGAATTATGATTTTTTCACTGCAGATTTCAATGAAGATTTCACAGCCTTCCATGGAAGAACTATGTTGGATCAGGCAGAGTACTTGAACGAAGCAATCAAGTTTATTCTTGGGTTGTATGCGAATAGCGAACACCCTCCGAGATCTGTTGTTGTTTTAGGGCATTCAATGGGTGGTGTGGTGAGTAGAGTAATGGTTTCGCTTCCTAACTATAACCCTGATTCAATTAATACGATCATTACTTTAGCTTCACCGCATGCTGCTGCTCCATTGACGTTCGATGGTGATATATTGAAGATTTATTCAGCAGTAGATAGGTTTTGGATTCAGGGTTACGATAACGAAGAAACAGACAATACGATTGCAAAAATTGCCAAAGAAAGATTATCGAATATTTCGGTAATATCCATTACTGGAGGGTTGTTGGATACTATACTACCAGCTGATTATACGACTTTAGGCTATTTAGTTCCACCTACTAATGGGTTTACAGTCTATACTACAGGTATCCCTGGTGTTTGGACTCCAATAGACCATTTAGCCATAGTTTGGTGTGCACAGCTTCGTAGACAAGTACTGAAAGCTTTACTAGAAATAGCAGACTTTGAATCTCCAGACAAGACTTATTCTCTTGATAAAAGAATGAAGGTTTTGAGAAAGAATTTCCTTTCAGGGTTTGAAAATTATGCCTCTCAAGATAAAGTAGCTAATGATAAAACAACTAACCATATATTCTTAAAGGCAGGTTCCCAGCAGATAAACTATGTACAAGAGGGACAAAAATTAAAAGTTGTGCCAGGAAAGACACCTTCACCTTTAAATATATTTAGATCAGCAAGCCCTAAAAGATCAAAAGTTCAATTTTCATTATTGAGCTCTATGAAAATTGGTGAACATACATCAGATGTTACTGAAGGATATACACAACCGACACTTTTATTATGCAATACAACGGATGCTATTGAAGAAGGTGTCAACATAATTGATTATACAAATGAAGAGACAACTGAGATTGTGTTGTTCAATTGTATTGATATCAGTGAAGATAGTAGCATCATACCTAGATCAGCAGATGACACAAGTTCATTGAGTGAATCATCTATCGGGGGAGAAAAATCACCATATCATGCGATTCAATACAATTCCACTATGATAGAGCCGTACGATACATTGATAGTTACTGGATTACTAGGTATGGAATCAAAAGATAGCGACGAATTTTTACTAGCCGAATTGTCTGATTACAATGCTAGTCAATTCAATATAGATGATAATATATTTACATTGATGACAAAAGGTGCACACTTTGCATTACCACTAGACAAGGCGTTATCAATGAATATAAAAATTCCTGGAGCTTGGAGTAGTATTTTGGCGTATAAGTTAAAAGTGCAATGGCCCGAAAACCGAGAAACTACAGAATATATTCCATCATTTCGTACATTTATAAGGCAATGGAGTAATGAACCTTACGAAGTAAAATGGCATGTCAATATGGAAGCAAACAACGAAGTATTATTAAATATTCACGGAATAGCGCCATACACTCCATTTAAAGTAAAACCTAAGGAAGAATATGGATTGAATATTGAAATATGGACCGATTCCCTTCCTGATAAAGCATTAACAACAATTAGGATAAGAATTGATTTATTAAACAGCTTAAGACTTTTGGTTTTACGATACAGATTAGCAACTGTATCATTTTGTGTCTCAGTCATATTATTAGCATTAATGTTTCAAGTAAAGCATTACAAAGAAACAAACAAATTTCCTACTTTATTATATGGACTAAGCTGCATATGCTCACCATGGGTACTTGGAGGAATTTTATTCACATTATCGATACTAACACCAATAATGAGTATAAAGCCATTACAAAAGTTTCT